TCAGACTAGGTGGTGGAATTGCTATCTCATTATGCTGAAAGAGGCCAGTTGATTACAGAGAGTAGTAGAGTAGCTGATTCTGCTTATATGTCCAGCTGTGACTTTCCCAGTGAAAGAAAAGAACACGTTTCTCATCTTTCTGTTTAAATTATGGATACTATGGAGTATGATGATGTGGTAGTGTTCTGCATTCATAGTTTGAATTTCAGGTTGTTGGAGCAGCTGACAAAGTTAGGTACTTGAAGGAGTGTACGTGTAAATTTTTGGACAGATGATGTTTATGCATTTTAAATTTACTTTTAAATTATCAGTTTAAAGGAATTGTGATTAGTTTTTAGGTAAAGAAAACATACCTTGAATGCTGCTGTATGCTGTAGAACTGTTAGAAACATCATAGCCTATTACGGTACAAGGTAATATTAGACAAACAGCTAGAAAGGAATTACCTATGCTAATGCTTTTCTTAAAATGACCAATAATAAAATGAATTTACAGTAAAAATGAATGTCAGCAGGAGGTAAATGCTTTCACAATTTCTAAGAACATCTCTTGGATGAAGAACATCCTCTTGCCTGCAATCAGTGAGGTCTTACAAGCACTGCCAGTGGTAACCTAGTGGATAGATTTTATTTCGCCCTGCAGAAAATGTTCTAAATTATGTTAAGATATGCAGTTATTGATCAGATTAATGGTATATAGCTATATGCTATATTTTTGTTGCAGTAAAAAAAAACCTCACTTATCTGTGTCCTAGAAAAGGCAGATTGAATTCTGTTTCACTGGAGTAACATCATGGACCTAAATATTTAGGAAAGATTCAGAATGCAGTAGAGGATATAAATATAAGTTTTGTCTAATCTTATTGATGTTTACTTTCCCCCTTCCCTCTCCCTTTTCCAATTCTATGCTCCAATGACTAAAGACCCTGGGCTAGGAGTGTATGTTAAATTTAGAATCCTTACAGCAAATGTGACTGTCTGATTCAGATTCTTTCCTGATGTAGATAATCCTCATAATACTGTCTCATGATTTCTTCTTGTTCCTGAAATATAGCATTAACTTTTAGCACACAGTTTGACTTGGAATTACACTTGGATATGATCACAGGAAGGCAATGCAGTTGTGATGGAATTGTGATGGGTGAACAGGATGTATGGGAAATTTCACTGTTCTAGGTGGAAATTAATTATTATTTATAACCAAATCAAGAACAAATTTCTGGTTTTGTAACCTGCAAAATAGAAGAGCATATGTGGCTAAGGAATATAATCCCCAATCTAAATTTTCAAAAGATGAGAAGTTTACCATAAGAAAGCTTCAAAATCTAAATATCAAAATACAGACTAATTTACAATTTTTATTTGATGTCTTTCAAGTAAGTAATGTTTTGAAAAAGAATTTGATCAGACCGACTTCAGTGTAGTCAGCTTATTTTCGACATGCTTACAAAGAAAATTCATTCTGTATTTGTTTTGTTGTAGTTCTGTCCCTGCCCTTTTATCGAACCTGTGGCTTTTTACCTTCCTCTTTAAGCACTGGTAATGCAGATGAAAAAAAAACTTTGTCTAGCACTGTTTGGAGACTTCTTTGTGTTTTTAATGTTTTCACACTATAATGGTGTTCCATGCAGTTTTGCTGTGCTTAGAGAAGAAACATTACAAAAATACACCATGCTATTTTTATTTACAGGACCTTTTGGGATAAATCATGGAATAGAGCTTCATTCAGATGTGGTAGAATACGCCAAGGAAAAGCTGGAGAGCTTCATAAAATACAGTGATAGCTTTGATAAGTAAGTATCTAATTTGTCTACCTTGGTTTGCAGTAACATTTTTGGTTTTAAACTCAGCGTGTCATTGCTTATGAGCTTAGGGAGGGGAGAAGAATGGCATCGCACAACCAAAACCTAAAAGTTGCAGTTTGTGGCTCTGCTTCGTGAGGTAAGTTGAGGCTTAAGAGAGCCCTCTTTGGAAGTATGGGAGTATTTCCGCTGTGCGGTGCTTAGCAAAGTGGATTTCCCTGCATTTTGGCGACGTGTATACATACACAGACGTGTGTATGTGCATGTACATGCATATATGCATTTGGGAGAGTGACATGATACATGGGTGTCTTTGCATGTGTAGAGCAATTTTTATCCATTGTCAGTTTTTATTATGTAGTTTTACATTATCTCTGTACACTATTAGCTTTTTTCTAATCTACCCCTGTTGAGCTGTATTTTTTTCTGATTGCCTTTATGTTTACCTCCTGAAGAGATGGACTTAAGAATATTCATCTATGCTCATAGCACTACTCATTTTTATTTCTGGTTATAACTCTGGGTTCCAGGGCTTTGAACCTGATTGCTTCTACATATTCAAATTTTTTTTATTATTTTAAGTTGGCCTGCAAGTGTATTGGCTATCTCTGCCTCTGTGGAAGGGAAAGCAAGGTTCTGGCTAAGACTTCTTTCCTTGCAGGCAATAAATTCTTGAACAGTGATTATAAGGTAACTTCTGGAAATGCAGAGTAGCTTTTCAGTTGTAGGAATAGCCTAAAAATTGCATTCTGCACTTCTTTCTTCCCCTGTGTAAGAAAATTCTTGCTAACCTTTTACCTGTGTAATGTGCTTTATAACCACCACATTCTTGATTATGTTGTCTGGAGCTCAATCTACTTTTTCCCATACCCCAAACTTCAGGAGATCATGTCTGACCACTAGCTTTTCTCTTCATTCTCCTAAGTAACAGAAGAGTATCTTCCTAGCGTTACCTGTCAATTTTGTAATTCTGATACTGGCTAGATAATTTTAGTACTGTGTTAGCCCAGTAAAATAAACAAAATTGCATAGGAGAATATGCAGATCTTTTATTACTCTTCTTAATATAAGCATTTATGAGGTTGATCTATAACGCAAGCTAGAACAAATAAAAATGGATTCAGTGAGCAGCTTTATGATGCAATTTATGTGTCTTAAAAAATGTGTGTGAAATATGGTCATTTGTGATCACTACTAATAGTGCATTAATGGTTCTGTTATAAAAGATGTACCTGCTAGCTAGTGAATTCCTGCACATACCTGTACTTGTGCATTACTATAGGTGTCTGTACAAGACATATAAAAGCTGGTTTTGATTGGACTGTATTTCCAATCAATATAGGTTTCTGTACAGAAATTAAAGAAAATTGGGTTAGCAATGAAGTTTTGTCATTATTGAAACAAAATTTGATTTGGATAGTTTAGTAAATGAATAGCAGAACACTGGGAGTGTCGATCACACTTTAAAACATGGAAAAACTTAAAACTGTTAAATATGATGTAAGCAAATGCTAGTGGTGTATGTGTTTTTGATACAAATGATACAGCACTTGTGAAAGTGCTTTTTGATACAAATCTGCCTTTAAAAGCTGCAGTGCAGCTGATAAGATAATGGTTGCCTGGTTGGATTTTGTGTTTTGGGGGGAATTTCCAAGTTGTCTGTACTGCTGATTCTGACTGGCTGCTTTCTTTGTAAATATTATATATTTTAATGTTGTTAATGAAGATGATGTGTGACTTTTTCTCTGGTAGGGTTCTTTTGTATTCATGTTTACTGTAAGTGTTAATATCATATTTTGAATTTTAAGCTGACTCTCAAAGTAATGTTCTTTGGCTCAGTAAGTCGGGTTTTGCTTCTTGTCTCAGTAACTTTTTTCTGCATCTTCATTTGTAAGTGAAAAATTTTTACCTCAAGTTACGGGACTGCAGCATATGACTACTACTTTGGTCAGCTTAGTATTTGGCTGAAAAACCACCCAGGGAAGAAGTGTGCAGGATCTGTGTGGTGCTGAACACTGGTGTATTCCAAGCAGGAGTCCTCACTGAAAATAGATTACATGGCAGACTGGTATGAATGGAGTTAATTGTCTCAGTGAATGTGTGTGTGAAAAAAAGCTTCCACTTGACCAGCAGCCTCTATCAAGGTACCCAGGAGACCTAAAGAGCACAGAGACCATGATGTGTGTTCCTGGCAATAATGGAGTTGTGCAAATGGGAAATTCAATAAAGCTTTGGTTTGCCACTTACCTGCATTCTATCTTTAGCATATTATGTTCTGCAGTCTGATCTGAATGTTCTAAGCATTCTGCTTTTGAAACAAAAACCAGGACTTTAAACTGACGGGTAGGTACTTGGAGAGCTTCAGCATGGATCATAATTAAACACCTTGTAACTTTGTTCGTTCTCTTGGAGTAATAGGCCATTGGTTTTGCACCTGACTTTTGCGTGGAGCTGGGTCATGATGATTTAGGTTGGTTCTTGCCCAAAAAGATGGAATATTGCCTTGATGCCATTTGTATGGGGGAATGTTCCAGTGCTGTGTGATAGTTTAACTTGCTTTTTTGATTCCTGATAATAATGTTGTTGAAGTACAATTAGATGTTTGCTTCAGTATTATTCAGGTAAGGTACTTCACCAGAGACCTGACATTATATAAAATTAGCATGTCCACAAGGATTTGAGACTCTCTCTCAGGGACGGCTGTCTATCTGTGATAGCTGGTCTTATCTCAGCTTTGGCCTCTGGGACTGTTCTTCAGAAGAAGAGTTCTCAGTTACCTATTTCAAATAATTGCAGTAATTACTTGTATCTGTATCCATATCCCACCAATCTATAAAAACAGTTTTCCTCTAAATGGAGGTGGAGTTGTACATTCTGAAAGATAAAATGGTGCTTTGATTTACTTGATGATATTTGCCAGTAAAAGCAGAGGAGTTCTTTCTTGAAAACATCTGAAAGTTTTATGATGGTTGAGGTACAAAGATTTTTAGGTATAGACTAAAGAAAATTCTGTGAGTCTGATATATGTAAGGCTCTCTTTCATTCTTGAAACCTTCAGAGAGTGCATGCCAATTAAGAGGAAAAGAATCATTCCTTAGGAAGGCTCTATCTAAAACACATATGTTCAAGTACCAGGCCCCGCTTCACCTGTTTATTGAAGGGGAATGTGTTGTCTTTTCTGCTCCCATTCAACTTCTAGACCTAGAATATCCTGCTCGAAGAGAGAGCCACAGGGCAAGGCTAGGTTGCCCATCTTCTAGCACCCTATCAAAGCCCAAACCTGGGTAAGCTGGTGAAGTCCCTGCTGTGAAAGAAAATCACCAACCCTTCTCAGGATCAAAAGAATCCACTTCAATGGTAAGTGACAAGAACCCTAGTACTAATTCTGAGATAACTGTTATGGGTGAAACTTCTTCCTGAAATCCTGTACTAGATTGTGATGGCATTAAAGAACAGTAAAGAACATCTTCCAGCAGAGTATTTTTCTACATTGAAATGTAAGGCTACTACTGGTAGGACTCTAAAGGCTCACTTTTTAAATTAAATGAGATTTGAAAGGCACATCCCTACTGTACATACAAAGAAAAATAGAGCTCTTCCTTGCTGGTCAGCTGGCTAGTGATTTCAGTAAAAATCCAAGCAGGAAAAGCGAACTGTCTACAAAACTTACTGATGGCTTTCTCAGTTTTTAAATCTTACTGATAACTTAATTTCAGATAGTGTGAATAATGCTTTTTTTAGAGGAGAGTGAATTCTTGTGGAGGTTTAATCTAATCAGAGCAACACAGGCAGTGGGATTCTTTGATGCCAGAGGCTATGTTAGACAAAAAGGGAAGGAAAATAGGGGCTGAAACATAGTCTTTTTTTTTTTTTTTTTTTAATTTAGATGTATGAGGGAAATACTATTTCTCATACTTTACCTTGTAAACCAGAAGGCTCCAAAGATAATTGAATCTGCTCTTACCTGGGAGGAACTAAACCTGCATTTTCCAAGTATTTGATAGTAACAAAAAGTAGACATTCTTGCCTTTATAACAACAAGTAAAATACCTTTTATAAATAATTCCCATCGTGGACACTGCCTATGGAAATCTCTTTTGTCTACAAGTTTTGATAGTACTTAAAATTCTTCTTACATTAAAACAAGTGATGACAGTATTTGGTATATGACTCCTATAAAAGCTGTTGTTTCACAATAATCCACAGTAGAAAATATGACTTTTTAAACCTATAAAATAATTTTCTGCTTCAGTAAAAATAGAAAGAAAATACTTCTCTAGTTTTTGTTAACAGACAAATCTTTCTCTAGACGTTTTCTATGGGTATCATAGGGCCTTGACAATAAACTGAACTGACAAATTCTTTCTTTCTTCCCTATTCCCATTCACTTTTCTTAAGATTCTCTGTGGAATTGCTAAAAAGTCTTCCTTCATTATTACTTTGCATCTTACTACCAAAATTTAGATATAATATGATGAAGTTATATTATTAAGGTTAAATTTTGTAAATCCGTGCTGAAGGAAGGGTATCATGAGTCAAAAGTATTTTTAAGAACCAGTGTTTGACTTTTTCTTCAGAAGTGATTGAATAATGTGCTTTGGTTCACTCAGTAAAACTGCTGAGAATATCAGAAATCATGAACAATATAGCTAAGAAGCAAGACAGTTTTACTCAGATATAGAAAACTGACAAGTACAAATGAGGTAGATACAGAGATTTTCCACTATGCCTATAGCCTTGCCTGGAAGCTGAAAAAACGTCCAGGACAAAAGTATTGAATAGAAATTTTGCTAGCATCACTTTTGGTTATTACTGTAATGCTGATTAAAATTGCTGTTGTAATTGGATGTAAGGGACTTAATTTTAAGTCTTATGATGAGAGCTTTTCAAAGATACAATATTTTAATTTGTTTGTTTTCTAGTATACATGCAAAAGGTGTCAACAATACTGGTCGATGAAAGGTGTGTAACTTTTCAGCAAAACATTCTAGAAATACATAAATATGCATTTATACAGGAATGAAAGACTAGTTCAGAGGGCTTAGAAAAATACTTAAATGAGATGGAACGAACAATGGAGAAAGAACAAGAGGAAAGGTGGAAAGAGCTTGAAATCTTGCCCTTATACTGCCCCATTTCATAAGAACAGAATTAACACACTCTAAAAATTGTTTACCTTTGTATCTGCCTGGTGTTAGCTCAAAAGCATTTTCACTGTCAAGTGAAATGAGAGAGACTTATGAGTCATAGAAATCAAAAAAAAATTTCATTAATCTTTTGCATGTTCTTGTGGCATGTTATAGTACATGAAGCCATATGAATTTTCACCTTCATCTGTGGTTTTTAAAGAAGAAAAGTTTTGAAACCTGAAAAATTTACTAAATTATTTGAAAACTTCAAAGTTTCTTTCAGTGAATATATTAGTGTTTAAACACTAGGTTCTAGGAATGCTTGGAGTAAGATTACTGATTTAGGAAATTATTGGATATAAAGGGAACTCTGAGATTTTATTCTTAATGCAACTGCATAAAGAAGCCACACCTTTCTAGGTTAAATTATGTGTAGCTTTTCAATCTGTGTCTTCAAGTCAGCATGGGAACTTATTTTGCAACTGCAGTAGCTTTATACACCAGTTTTTGGGTTTGAGTCTCTTCACCAACAGATGTGCCAGAACTGGTGGGGGTTTTGTTTCTTGCTTTCCTCTCGTCCACAATCCTGAGGACTCAATTTTTGGAAAATATGGCCAGCAGTATATTCGAGCTAGGACAAAAATGCATTGGTATGATTAGATTACTCATCGCAGTAAGGAAAATTGTTTAATGTTTTATCGCGTATTTTCAGACTCTACATATTTTGCAGATTCTTTTCAACCTCTGGTTATTAATGTATTTGATGGTTTAAGGGTAATTTGATATAAAGCTAATTCCATGAGTTCTTATGCTGGATTTACTATTCTGTTTTGAAATATTTATTAAGATATGTTATGTTTTGGAGGTTTTTTCGGTACAAAGACCTGTGTGAAATTCTTTCTTGTAATGTAGTGTCACTGTAGTTCACATGACAAATGTGAACAACTTGCCAACCTTTTCTTATACATTATTAAAGTTGAAGGTAGTCCTTTGTGCCCTGTATTTAAATAAATTTAAATAAATTTCTCATTGGAAGGGTATTAGTTAAAGCAGTTTGATGGTACTGAATGTGAATTCAGACTTTTTAGAGCTTGGAGTTGACCAGCTAAAGGAAATGTGCGTGGATGGAGAAAAAATCATACTAAATTCATCCTGACATGAGTTTGGATTTTTTTCCCTAAGGGCTGTGAACAGTAAACTGAGATGTGAGTGTGGTTAGTATTTGTGGGGATAGGCAGAAGTGTACTGCCAGATGATATTTTGATGTGAATGTAGTAGTTGAGAGGTGTAAAATGTAGCTGGAGTGGTGCTGGTTTTAAGAAATAAATAATTCTTCTCTTAGCAAAAACACTTTAAAGTGGTTCCCCAGTATTGTTTGGTTTTGGTTTTTTTTTTAATCTTATAACATGTTTTAACATTTCCTTCAGATACAAATCTGTGGATGCTGACAGGTTGTTTTTTTTTTCCCCTCCAGATTACTTGATATTTTTTCTCCACATTGACCTTGTTCTTTTTTTGAAAAGTTAAGTCTGTTTACTACTTAAAAGAATAAAAAAAGAGACAGTCCATACCTCCATGCACTTAGTTTTGTTTTCACAATACATCAGCAAAACATCCTGCATTCATGGAGGTTGTATAGGTAGAAGAGCTTAGCCCGAGAAATGTCTTGTACACATTCAGAGCTGGAAGTAATTAAAGGTAGGGTTCATGGGTGATATTATGTTAGGACCAACCAGTGAATCCCTTTGTAAAAAATCCTGGCTACTAGGGAAGGTTAGTGCTATACTCTCCTGCTTCTTTATTTAGTGTTTTGCTATGACAGACACACTAGATTGGTGGATATGGATACAAGAGCAACAAATTTAACCTTAGGTCTTTGCTGTAAATATTTTAAATGGTTGCTTATTTTATTACAGTAGTAATAGTTTGCTGTGTTGCTATTTATAGAGAATCTAACTTAAAAACATTGGCAGTTACAATCTATTAATTTAAGTTTCTTCAGCAAAGGCAAAAACTCACTTTAAATTTTACAGGTTTGTTTGTTTTTTTTTTTAATTTAGCTGGAAGAAAAGTACCTTGGCCATGTTGAATACGAACTTGAAATGCCCATCCCATGCAAAAGTCTTACATGCTTGAAAGTGCTTGGTTATCTTGGGCCATTGCTATATGTGATCTGTGTATGCTTGAATTTATTCTGTGGCAAGTGTTTGTTTAAACAGAGATTTTCTGTTGCCATGTTATCGGTAATGGGAGCTCTTACTAATTTCTGTGTTCTTGGCTGTTGGTTCTCTTGTAATCAAGGTAGCAGATTCATCTGAAGAACAGGAAGTGACTAAACTTTTCCAGATAGTTCCAGCACTTTTTTCCCTTCCTTTGTTATCTGATGTGTGAAATAGGGTTTTTTGCATGTTACCAATGTAATGCTCTGTAAAGCCACCCTGATCACATACTAGAGGTGAACAACATTAAAGAGCACTTAGCAATTCCTAGCTGCATTTCAGCTTGGAAATAAAAAAAATATTTAAGTGAAATATTAGCTCTTCTTGATAGTTATATTACATGTTTGTAATACTGCGTGTTAATGCAATATTTTATTTTCATCAATATTAATAAAAGATAGCTCTGTGTAACACAGAATGAAGTGTAATACCTAGTCTGTTTTGATACCCCAGATGCAATAGGAATAAAATAAACTTTTTTGATGTAGCGACAATTAATACTAAAAGAATTGGGGTTTGATTGGGGTTTAAAATGGAACTTGACCTAATATGGTTGATACTGCTTTTCTACTGTAAGACTAACACGCTTGTGATGCGCCTGGTAGGTATTCTGAATATGGAATACTTCCTTGTATTTGTAGAACCTTTGTATTTAAGTTTTAAGTGATACCCTGATCAGTTGATGGGGTCTCATACACTGGAGTAAAACCAATCTAAACTTTACTTTTTTTGAAAATTACTTAGGCAAGTTAGCAGAAAAACTTTTCAGAATTATACTTCAGTCTGTGTTTGAAGGTCATCTCTTATTACTGGATTGGATAAATACAAGAAAATGGTACATACCTTTATCAGCTCTTTCTGACTCAGAGGTGTGTGTATAATCGTCTTAAGATTCAGGGATCTGGGAGTCTTGCTGCATCATTTAGATCTGTGTTCCATACGAGTGTGGAGGAGCAAGATTCACTGTTTTACAATTTAACTAGTCCACGAAAAGTCCATGGTGCTCTACTAAGCAGGAAAGCAGTATGCTTTTCTTGTATTTGTGGTATGTATGCTTTTCTTGTATTTGTGGTATATATGCTATGAGTCACTGTTCATACCCTAACACATGAAGCAGTTACTTTGGAATAATTTTGTGAGAAGCACAAATGAAGAAGGATTGGCTTTTAAACAGGCATGTTGCTGTTACAAGAGACAGTTTATCACCTTTTTCTCCCTTTTCTTCTACCTACTTTTATCTTTCTGGATAACAGGAAGCTACATATGGCAGTTGCTGAACTAGAATCATTCCAGCAGCTAGCACACCAATTCAGGCTAGCTGGGGGTGGGCATTGCATGACCAGGTGAGCTGAGAGGTGTCTTCAGAAATTACATGTAAGCTAGTCCATAAAGTGTTTAATTTGGCTGTAGGAAATGAGTCTGTCAGGTAAACCACCTGTTGACAGACTGGGTTGAAACTAGCTGAAAAACTATATGGAGGAAGAAGGTATTTTTTGAAGTAAACGGAATAATAAATAAACAGCTCTTTTGGTCATGAGCTTTGGTCTTCATAAAACTCTGCTAGTAGTGTGGAGGGAGCACAGTCTAGACAATTCAAAGTGCCTATAGACAGAGTTGGTCTCTAGTGCTGAACTCATTCTTACAAGTGTATTAAGAAGTTGCTTCTGTGTCTTTATTTGCACTTTGTGCCCTTCTGGTTGTAAGCTGCAGAGCTAAATGACAAATTATCTTCCGCATTTACTAGATTAGTGAAGACTACTGTGAATTTTTGTCCTCCCTCATGTATAGAGTATTTTGTGTCTGGGGAATGTTTCAAGGGATTCTGTTGTGTCTTAGACAGTTTGTTGTTCCTCCTTGTTTGAAGAGGGTGTGCCCAGTGTATTTGTGAGCTTTTAGGGTGGTTTCTAGTAGAGGAAACAGGATTATCTGGTAATAAATCTGATAGGTTTTAGAGCAGCATTCTGAGAAGACAAGTTATGAAAGCTGTGGGGGGGTAGGCAGGCAAGAAAGCCATCTTCATTTTTCTAAAACTAAGGGACTGTGTCAAGATTTAAAACTGCGTTTTAGGAAAGTACCATATTCATTGTCTCCCTGCTCCTTCCCCCTTCCTCCTTTACTTTTTAAGCCCACAAAAGTACTTTGCTCAAACCTTCAAATTAAATTGATGTGATAATGCTTGATTTAAACTGTAGGCAATCTGAAATGAAAACTATAGCATAAGTTGCCTGATTGACCTGTGTGTGGAATGTAGAAAATATAGGAAAGAGCATGGTAGCCCAAGTGCTTGTGAAATGAGATTTGCTTCTTCAGCAGATTGGTAAGTGTCCTGGATTTCATTTTCTTCCCAGCATTTAGCCTTGTCTAATGTATTCCTAGATCTTTCTATGTTAATCTGGAATTACTTCAACAACAGTTCAGGCCAGTCTAGCTTCACCTCACCTTCTCAGTTTTGTGCAACAAGGCAATTTATCCCTACTCTGCTTCCATCTCCATTTTTTCTCTTCAACTGACCAGTGTTGTTTGTACCTTTTTTTTTTTTTTTTTTTTTTTCCTCTCTGGATTTGGAAGAGAAAAATCAGACTGTTGACCACAACAAGTGCGTGAGAGAGAACCGTGCAGTAGTTGTTAAAAGATTCTGGGGTCTATCTGGACTAGTCAAAGAAAGAAGTGTTAGAGTATTTACAAGATCAAGCATCCCATCTTGCAGGGAAAAATATGCTTCCAGCAAAAACTTCAATTTCCTGATTTGTTAATGGCAGCACTCTAGATCAGAAAGTCAGCCAAGCCTTACAGGCTTCATCCCTAAGCAGTGAAAGCTGCCAACTTTACTGTAACTGAAAAAATATTGATTTGAATGTTGTCAGGTATTGTACTGGGATTTGCTAATGCTAGCCAAGCAAAAAGAAAAATTACTTTCCATTGACAGCCATAAAGTTCATAAAATGCCTACATGTATTTGAAGTTCTTAGAAAAATTAATTCCTTCTGGATGCTGTTAGAGGTGCATTGGACTTTAATACTTCCAGATGAAGTTTATGAACTTTTTCATGCAACAACAAGGATGTTAGGTTTTATGTAATATTTTTTTTCAAAGAAAACTATAAATCCTTTCTATAAGGTACTTTGTAGCCTCTCTTCTTATATATAAAGTGCTTGGGGAAGATGTACAGTTATTCACTCAGGGAATTTTTTTACAAAATGGTAAATTTTATTATGGTGTTAACAGCTGAAGCAATAACATGCTTCCGAGATTTAAAAAAATGTCAAAAAATAACAGTGTTGTGGAGAATATATGCAGCTTTAGCAATAAAGTACTGCCCTGTCCGTTTTTTCCTTTGGTATTGTATGCAGTGGCAGAGAACACTCAGTCTTTGCAACATGTCCTCTAAACTTAGGTCTACTAAAATGCAGTTGTATAGCTTCCATTTACTGATGAAAATGAGATGTTTCTGAGATAATGAATCTTTTCTTTTTATTTTTTTTGCTTTCTGTGCCGTGAAAAAAATATCAGACTTTTCCATTGAATTCCTTTTTGGGAAAAAGTGGATTGGGCTCAAGGTGGAAAATTGAGAGGTAGAGAAAAATGAGTCTTTAAAAAGACCCTAACTGGTTGAAAATGTCTGAGAGCTAAATGAAACTTTCCAATGTTTATTCAACAGCCTGAATATCACTCACTATTGATAAATACGCTGTTTTAGTGGCATTTGTACCATATGGCTTAAGATTTCTTGGATGAATCTACTTGCTTGTAGTTTCGAAGCTTTCTCTGTTTTGCATAATACATAACTGTAACTGCTTAAGAGTTTTTCTTCAGTGGTCCCTGATGTAGCAGAAGAAGACCAGATTACTTTCAAAGTAATGTCTTAATGTAAACTTTTAAATTATGTATGCTAATCATTCTTCATGATATGTGATATATTTTTCTGTCTTTATCTGGACTGGCTTTTCTTAAAAATCCTTATTTGAAATGTGTCCTCTCTTTCTTTTTTTCTTCTTCCCCCTAGATTTGAGTTCTGTGAACCTGCCTTTGTGGTTGGTAATTGTTTGGAAATAGCCTCAGACAGTCATCAATATGACCGGATTTACTGTGGAGCTGGAGTCCAGAAAGACCATGAAAACTACATGAAAATTTTATTGAAAGTTGGAGGCATTTTAGTAATGCCTATAGAAGATCAGGTGACTTAGTGACAATTTCCACTTTTTATCTTCTAGTATGAGAAATACGTAATTTAAAGAATGCCTTTGAATATATATTTGACTGAGTTAATGTTCAACTAACGATACCTTGATTTGGTGTGTTGTTGCAGTTAAGCAGATACTAATCTCTTTAATGAAGTCTTGAACTGTTTTCCCTTAAATCTGTAGGAAAGCATCAATATCCTGCTTTTAACAAAGTCTGTTTCCGTACTATTTTCTGTGTGTTATACCAGAACTGCTTTGAAATCTCCCTGCCCCACAGATGTTTTCAGTCAGTACTTCGAAACAAAGAAACCACCTCTAAATCAGGAAAATTGATTTCAAAGAATACAAAATAAATATGATTAGTGGTACATTGCAAGGGGAGAAAAAAAAACAAAGGAAAAATATGTCTGTATTCATAGAAGTTTTCTGTGTTGCTTTTCCATGTTAGATTTAAAGCTTTTCAGACAGGGGTATATTATTTTAATAATACTTCGCACTTTTATCACTTTTCATCCTTAGACCTCAAAAGGCTTCTCAATGGTAAGTATTATTCACCCTGTTTTACTAATAGGGAAATTGAAAAAGGCACATCATGTGATTAAAGTTGATGTCCTCCTAAATACGAATAATTACTAAAATGGTTGTTGATAAGCATGTTAGTTACTTTCAGAAAAGAATTCTCACATTATCTATCTGCTTTCTTAAAAGACCAAAGGGATTTAAGCATAGCCTGCATGATTCTGTTCCATAAATAATTTCATTATTTATTCAACTAAGATACTGTCAGTTGAAATTGATGGAATCTAACTTAGTAGTCACAATGTAAGAGAGAAATTAAAACTGTGACTATTTTTACCTTATATGCAAATGGATAGGGGCTTAAAGGATGTAAAGTGTGAGGAGCAGCTACATGATCTGAGATAATCTAGCTTGCAGAAAAACGCCAAGGAAATGTTTAATTCCTGTTTTCTTCCTGAAGGGGTGGAGAATTTACTTGGTAGACAGGAGTCCAGTTCTCTTCCCCGTTGCACAGCATACTGAAAGAGCATTGCAAATTGGCAGCAAGGGAGCTTTCTGCCTGCAAATAAGGAAAGCAATTTTTCGTAGTAAGAATGGTTGAACACTTACATCAGGTTGCTTAGACAAATGAGGAATCTCAGTCCTAGATCTTTTTTTCTCTTAATCAAAAAAGCTTCTGATTTAACTTTGAAGTTGTCCCTATTCAAGAGGTTGGTTCCAATCTAAAGTATTCTTTGATATTTTGGAAAAATGAGAAAAAAAACTTACCTTAGGTTTTACCTTAAAGCCTTAGTTTTCCAGCTGCATCTCTTCCCATTACCAAAGAGCCTCATTCAGTGTTCTAGTGACCAAGTGATATTTCAAGGATTACCAGTCCCTTCTGTTCATAAAAGAGCTTTAATTCCTTAATTTTGAAGCAAGACAAAATAGCAGTGTGTTTGAAACCAATCTAAATAGTATTGACTGACAAAATTGCAACCATTGATTTATATTGGTTTTGTTTTGCAGCTAACACAGATCTTGAGAACAGGACAGAACACATGGGAAAGTAAGAATATCCTTGCTGTTTCGTTTGCTCCACTAGTGCAACCAAACAGAAATGACAACGGCAAACATGACACTGTAGGACTGCGTAAGTTTGTGCTTGCTCCCTTTGTTTTGCAGGGATGTTACAGTGCCTGATGTTGGAGGTCTGGAAGTTGAGAGACTGTGCTGTAGAAACATTCCATTTAGCAAAGCAGTAGCTCACTGATAAGTTTTTGTGCTCCTGGTGCATTGTCTGTGTTGCTTCATGTATAATATTCTGAATTTAAGTGATAGAATTTTTCCAGTTTGTTTTTCCAGACACCTTTTCATTTTAAGTTCAGCTTCTCTATTGCAGCAGTATAGGTAAAATAGCCAGCTAATATTAGGTCCCTCATAGTGCTAACTTTCTCGTGGTCTACCAGAGATTTTTTTTTTTCCCTCTTCTTCCTGAAATGGAAGGAAGAGGTCTAAACTGGGTCTGTGATATGATAGGATATTAATAAGCCTAAATGTGCTTTATGTCTGTTTGCAGTGGATATAGTCATACCTACCTGTTTGTTATTAGTCACTGGCATTAGCTTTCTAGCTGCAATGCTTTGAGCAGAGATAATAAAGGTATTTAGAAAGTCTTTGGAAGTATACTTGTTGCCAAATGGTAAGATAGGATGATAACAGGGAAGGAGAAAAAGCTGACAAAGAAAAATGTAGAGTTGAAATTTTCTGTCAGAGTTTTCAGGGCTAGGAGTAGAGCACAGAGCTATGGTAACATATGGGAAATTGAGTAAATCAAGCAAAGAGCCTAAAAGATGACAGATTTTAACTATGAAACTAGAATAAGCCCTTCAGGAGTCCAGGACGTCCTGTCAGCTTGCATCACCTGTAACTGCTGATCTGGCTATTAATTTTGAGTGTGTGTGAGCTTGCTATGATAGGTACTTTTACGTTTTTTATGCAAAATATAGAAGATAATTTCCTTTATGTAATGTGTTCCTATGCAGAAATAATTACTTTTTTTGTTACAATACTTGTATTGAGCTCTCAGAAGTAATTTCCTGAAATTAATTTACTAATTCAAAATTATTTTTTCCTCTGTTCTGTCCATAATACATAGGTTGTGTCATATCTAACAGTGAAATACAGAGGTGGCTAGTCAAACTTTATGATGGTTTTATACAGTCTAATTCCCTAGAACAAAAGAGGTTTTTCTAAAAACATTCCTAAATTTTCAGATTGAGGAGTGCAGACCATGGACATTCAGAGCTGAATAGTAGTACAAGAAAGGTGTTTCCTGTGTTACAATTTCAAAATGAACTTTTAGTGAGAAGAGGAAAAAAATAAATGTGGCATTGTTCACATTTAAAAGAAGAAAGTATTGGAGGCTTGAAGTTGCTCTGTAAAATGAGATCAGTGAGAGAGGCTTCTTTCCACTGCTCAGGTGGATCTGGTTTTATTTAAAGCTTAAAAATAAAGAAATAAAGGAAAAGTGTTCCTGTGGATGTGTTGGGTGTACATGGTAGGGGTGTAAAAAGGAGTGTGCTGAAGTTCAATAAATAAAATTTTTAGCTATTTGCTTTTTTATAGTAGCATTGTCTATTTGCTTCAAATCCACAGGCCTATAAATTATCTTAAAAGTTCAAAGTTGTTTAGGGGACATGCTTCTTCTATAAACTTTAGCCAGAGGTTGCAGATGTCATTACTTAGTAAACATAGTGTCTGTCCCATACTTTGGACAACCCTTGAATGCTTTTTGACACATATAAGGTTATATATAGACTAAAATAACTTTCATATGTAAAATATCAGTCAGCCATGCTCAAAGTAGAGTCTCTTTTTTGTAGAAAACTACAGAGATGGTGTTAAAATGTTCATTTTATCAATTTATTTGTTAGTATGCAGTTCACTGATAGTAGACAAATGGAAATGCATGGACAGTAAATCTCCAAAGTTTTTCATCCTGTTCCCCTCATTAAAAAATGTACTTGTTATAATTGGCATACAGTCTGCAATCGTGGTTTGTTTCACTTGAACTTATAAACTGTTCTGGGTGGTTAGATAGGATTTTGGTCTTGAATTTTGAACTCATTTTACACTAAAGAAATGGGACTTTTTTTTTCCATTTTTTTTTTTTGGGCATGACCTGAAATCAGTGTTGTCAGTCTTAATATCCTTTCTGTCTCAGATAAATAATTAGTCTGCAACTGAAGTCATTGTATGCAACACTAGATCTTGTTTAAACTACATTGGGAGGTTTTGTAGCTGAATGGGATTTTCTGGAAATGTAATTTTAAAAATTACTTCTTCAGTAACTTCTTTGCTAAAGTCCTCGTAAATTGTACAGTATTCTGTACAGCAAGGAAAGTGACAAGTAAGAAAGTTGAACGACCTTCAGCTTTGGCTGATGTGCTTTTTGGTTTTGTTTTCCTTGTAATTAGCCACCCGTAGCTCATCTAGGGCAGGTGTCCAGCAGCCAAGCAATATTTTATTATCACCTGGCTATCATTGGAAAACAAGGTTTTGGCTTTTTTACTTGTTGGTTTGGGTTTTTCTCCCTGTAAGACTTGAGTAATTTTGATTCCTTGTCTGCTGCAAAGATACAAAGTGACTTATCCAGTTTGTCACCTGTCAGTTAGACATGTCCCTCCCTCATCAGTTAGATTCAGTAGGAAGTGAGCAGAAGAAAGGCACTTGAATAAACAAATGTGGCACAGGGGTAGAAATTATTTTCCTGTGACAGGATCAGTAGGTGGCAAGACATGCTAAGTGCTAAAAAGTGACGGTACTTGTTTTATAATTTCTTAAATTTATCTTAGTGATTTGTTCATGCTTTCTACTTCTCTTGCACATCTGTCAGAAGACTTCTTTGTTCCCTGGACTGTGCCACAGGGTTTATCAAGGTGATACTAAATAACTTTGTGTCATTTGCATATTGTATCATTTACTAAAATTTCAATTTAATAGTTTTTGAATGTTAGTCTCACTAGTTTGGGTTTTTTTTTTTGCTAGAGGGAAGTTTCACTTAGTATAACTTAACTTTTCTTTCATTTTAGCTCCGTGTGCTGTTAGGAACCTCCAGGACCTAGCTCGAATATATATCAGACGCACTCTTAGAAACTTCATAAACGAGGAGATGAAAGCCAAGGGTATTGCTCAGAAGGCTCCTCCGAAACGCAAACGCAGGAGATGTCGTAGACGCAGGATTAACACCTATGTGTTCGTTGGTAATCAGCTCATTCCTCAGCCTCTAGATAGTGAAGAAGATGAAAAAATGGAAGATGATAACAAAGAGGAGGAGGATAAAGATCACAGTGAGGCCTTGAAGCCAGAAGAGCCTCCTCGAAATCTATTGAGAGAGAAAATTATGAGTCTACCATTACCCGAATCTTTAAAAGCATACTTGACCTATTACAGAGAAAAATAACTTGTTTTAAGTAGAAATAATGCCTACTGATAGTTCCTTTATTCTTGAAAATGTAGCATTTATTAAGAAGTAGGTGGACAAATTATTATTAGTCTTTCATCAAGACTGAAGTACAGCGATAAATGGTAACTTGTCTCTATCTTGTCTTTGCTACAAGGAAGACTTGCATTCGACAGTAGAATCCCTTTTTAAAAGTCTATTTTTCTTTAAATTTTGAAAATGCTGTTTTAACTCTGATAGAAATATATATTCCATTATGCAGCACTAATCAATATTTTGCATGGTAAGTCTTTTTTGGATCCCTAACAGATTTGTATTGATAAAAGGATGAGTGAAATTTTATATATGCTAAATAATTGGTTAAACATGTGCATCTGACTTGATAAGCAATTTGTCTGTATTTATCACTATTAGGGAAACATTTTAAACATGCAGACACTTATCCTCTAATGTCCAAATCAGACCCTTTTAAAGTTTATTTTACTATGGCTTTGTTGCAATCATTATTATTACTATGTTGGTATAGATGTATTCCAACAACACAAGTGCAATAAATGTATACGGACACTGAATGAGCTGGCTTTAGTGAAACATGAAAATACAAGTTCTGAAACGTCAGATGACCCTGCTACTTCTGCATTTATCTTTTGCCAAAAGATCTTGCAACAGCTAACAGCTTCTCTCAGAGCCTTAAAGAAACACCATATTGAATAAGAAGAATGCTTACTTCAGCTCTGCTTATACTTAACTCTGTTCTACACTGTCAGTATTTCTAACTAGAGGCAATTCCTCCTTTGTGGGAAGTATAGGACAGTACATTTTGTTTATTTCTAGAGCTCACAGCATTGAATCAAAAAGTTTGGCAATTCAAGATTGTAATTTAGATTTCAGTCATCTATATTTACTGCTTTTAAGTAGAGGTAGAATTTCAACAAAGTTTAGTTTGTATTGCTTATTGGGATAGCTATAATAGTAGAAGTTAGAATTTGTTCAGCAAATGCACTTTAGTAAGTGAATTTTATACTTAACATGCATCTCCAAGAAGGTAGACTTGTGCCAGCCTATATTTTGTTTCTGAGCATGGCTCTTAGCACAAAAAATATTTATAAAATCATATGCATCTTTTGGAAACCTAAGAGTAGCAGTGCAACTGTGGGGACCCACAATAGTGCTGATTTAAATCCTTCAATGAGTTTTCCTCTTCTAGTTGTGAAGTTATTTGCAGTTCTCATTTTTAACTTTGCTTTTACCATCTTAATTTCTGCATTCTGTTGTAACATAACCACGAGGGTAAACAGTTAATTAAGAACTTGGCATGATATGTATTAAAAACCACAATCATTGGAAATGTGGAAATGTATGCTTGTTAGACCCAATGAAAAACATTCCCATTGAAATATCCCCATGATACATTTTATAATACTGTTGACACTTCCTTTTGTGTAAAACAATGAACAAAATAATCACATATTTCTAAAGCAGTAAATGTTCCTATTCCTAGTATTTATCACTAACTAGTATTCATGTGGTCTAGGAGTCCAATATTTACTTCAAAATACATTAGCATTTTGTTGCGTCTGAGAAGGAAGGTCAGACACAATCCCATGACACTGACTCTTTTTGGTGCATTTCATGCTGTAGTCCCTCTTTTTAAGGTACATCATAGTAATGTTTAAATGGAATTTCATGAAGGCCTGTTGTACCAGCATGTGGAGTTACTTTCCGCAATATATTTAACGTAGAAGTAAGCAAAAGTATTTGAAATAAATATTCTGACTTTATTTTAAAAGCAGGAAAACCTTATAGGAAATAGTTTTCCAAAATAATGATACTAATAAAGTAATTGTGATGCTTCAGCTATAAGAATTGAACATAATCTTGTTTTAAATGGGTTGGTTTAGATGGAGGCTAAATAATCTGAAGTTTGAGATGTTTGTCTCTTCTTTTCTTGGAATCTACATCCATGCGCTCAAGAATGAGATTACTAAATATTACCTAAGTACTTCAAGGACTTTATACAGGATGCTTTTTGAGAATAAATTTCTGCATTCTTTCCTGCCTGTATACTTGGAAAAATGGACAGTGGATGACTTGTCATGAATTTTCAGTATGTAAGTTTTTTTTGGAGTCACTGAAAGAGAATGTTTCCTCTGTGTTTTATATGTGGATTTATTTTACACTCTTGGATTTATATTTACATAAATAAAAAGGTAGAAACGCAAATTAATTAAATTTAATTTTTGCCATCTCACTTGATGATGGGGACATTGTTGCAATAAAATGGTTTTTTGTGGTTTCTGCTTGCTTGAATTTCTGTGTTTCTGTGGAAGTATTTTCAGTTATCTGGAAATTCAGGTACCAGTTGTTTCATAATTAGGTCAGTCTCTTAATAAAGGCTGTTATTGAATTTCAGAAGTATATATTCTCACTAAATTATGAATTTTTGCAAAGGTTGAAAGATGAGATATTACTCATGACACAGGGAAAGCTGTTTTGGTCCCAGCACTACTTTTGAAGTACTCATGTGGAGAGTTTCCTCTGGAGAGCCCAGAAGCTAAACTTGAGCTATATACTGAAGAACTTTTCCATGATGGTTTTTTTTTTCCTAAATATTGAAATTTCTGGTTTTTTTTCTAATCCTCAACTGAGCAGCTATCTGAGTCAAAACAAATAATGCAAACTTGGAGGTAAGAGCTGCAAGGGTGGTGAGCAACCAGTGAGACACACTTCTACTGCAACTCCTTCTTGATGCAGCTTTGTTTTAGTGCCAGGTACAGGAAAGATTCAGGGTGGGTCAGGTAGGCTGATGAGCATTGTTACAATTGTGATCTCTGGAAGGAAGGGGTGATGACTTGGAACTTCAGGGGGATTAATCTTTGGTCTGGACGAGGACTCAAGACCAGTGCAGTCTTTTCAAAATACGTGAATTTTTAATCCCATGTCTTTCAGGAAAAACTAAGCAGCTACCTCCCAAAAACTTGAGCAATTTTCATTGCAGTGAGCCTGAACAGCTGTGCTTGACTGAGCACTCTGTTGTTTGTTCAGGTGCTGGCAACTTAAGTCTATTTTCTTTTTTTTTTTTTTTTTTTAAATCCTGTATTTTTTATTCTCTAAACTCTTTTTAAAATGCATTTCTGCCTGTCAGTTTGAAAACAAATAGGGAATGTAATTAAATGTGCTCTGTTCTGATTAAAACTGGTTTAGCTCATTAAATATTTACCCATATGTCCTCAAGAGTGTCTCCTTCCATCATTCATGTAATTGAGTTAAACTGAATGCTTTGTGATTTACTAATCAATTATGAAAGATAAAGGAGTGGTGGTCTGTGTTCTTCTTAGAGGTGTATATACTGAACTTTAATGAGCTGCTACTTATTTTGACAACACTTGAATCGTGTATGAGGCGTTTTGCATAAACTTGTTCTGAGAAGGTCATTGGAGTGTAACTGGAACAGTGAGGCTTTAAAGGTGTGTGGATTTTGAGATGTTTTAGTAAAACAGCTTCAGTAAAATTTAGATGACTGGCTTGATCACTGCCTGTCTCACTTCTGTAGCTTCACAGTGTACTTGTCAAGTTGTTGAATTACTCTGTTCAAGTAAAGCTGGCTTGTTTAGCTGCAAGGCTTGCACCATATTTATGGTCAGTATGGAAGCAAGAATCTAATGGTAATTTGGCAGTGGTTATCAGCATGATGGTAACTTCTTCTTTCTAGAGTTTTCTGTCATCCTTCATATTCTGTGATGCTTTAAAGAGAATTTTCAGGAGAGCAAGGGGAACTGAAACATCCTTTTTAAAGCTCTATCCTCTTCTACTGCAAGCAAGGAATCTATGTAGTACCTTGCTAGGATATTTTGCAAGATACTTCCATGCTAGAAAGAAGCAAAAGCACTGCAATATTTTCTGCCACTTTTTCTTCATACATTCATGACTAGCCATGATTTTAGAATAAAGAGAAAACAGCAAAATATAGGCATCGGTACATTCTAAATGCTGGTAATTTTTGTTTTGTAACCATTTCCTTTCCATTTTGATAGCTTTCTTATCCTGGCTGAAATATAATTCATTAGGGTTTCTTACTGCTGTGTTGCTTCCATGGATGAGTTACATAGATGATCTTCACAAACTGAAAAATGTTCCTTGCAGGCAAATAGATATGAAGAGTTAAATTGCAGTTCTTTATATTACAGTAGCACATACTCTGAATTTCTAGTCCTCCTCTTGGAATTACGCTCAATCTCCCTTTGTTTCCCTTGAGTTTTAGATCCACAGCTAGGGAGGGTAACACAACGTTCTGCACCTCTGCCATTTTTCATGGGCAGAATATTTTGTTCATGTTGATGGTTCCTTCTTACCCTCCTGGGATCACCTTGGGAGTCATTTGTACGTTGGATAATGTGCTTTTTGCACCTTCATTCGTTGTTCTGCATCTCCAGCTTGTATTCAAGTTATCTGTATGTGATAATCTGCATATGTTAGATACTGTTTTGTTTCAAGGTTTGGGTCTGCATATTTTTAAAACTGACTATTCTAGATCTGTGCATAGCTCTACAATGTCCAGTACTAAGAGTGGCCCACACCTTGATCCCCTTGCTGCTTCCTGTGTCTCCACTTTTCTGCTCTCAGACCAGGGGTCCATTTTCTGCACTAGAGCATTGTGTGAGAACGGTAAATTGCTTGTTTTTTATAACAACAGTGACATGTTACCTATGTAAAACTAGGCTCGTGCCACACAAGCACAGGTCAGCCAGAGAGACTGACGTGTCTGTCCTGCCATAGGCGATGTCATTCGTGGCATATGAGGCAGAGCTACACAAGCATGAAAGCAAGCTTTCATATCTCGACTCAGTGATCAAAAACATTTTTCCAGGATTGGAATAGGAGCAGGAATGAAGAAGGAGAGATGGATAATTTGTATGGGGAAGTTACTGGTAAATGAACAGTAACAGTAATAAACAGAGTGGTTTATATCATCAAATTAGCTGCAAATTTGGATTCCTCGTTAAAATTTTAATTTCTGCCATTTATCAGGTCTGTATAATCCATAGTCTTTGTATATATTAGCTTGGTGCTCTATGTTTTATCCACTTTTAATACCTGGTTTAAATATTTCTAACCTGTTTGTTGGTCTTGGTCTTCAGTTTTCCCCTTTACTAAATGGCACAGTGTGGATTTGTGCTGTAGTCAGTAAAAGCAACGCTGTAAAGCACTCCTTTTGTGCTCTTTGCTCCACATCTAACAAAATCTCTATTATTGACTTTCAGTAATCTCTTAACAGTATAGCCCTTTTTAGATCAACAGCCTGCAAAACTAAGTTTGTTATTTGTGGCACTTTGCTTGTTTTAGCTTGTTTTTCTCGGCGTCTTGTTTCTTGGCGTCTCTTTTCTACACAGTCAAAAGTAGCACAAAGCAAAAATGTTTTTTACCTCGTAGAAGAATTTTATCTAAAACGTTGTGGGTAATGAAGGATACCAGAAGAGGGCAGTATTGTCTTTCGGGAACAAAGGCTGAGTGCTGCCAACTGTTAGGAAAGACAAAAAATCTACGTTGATGTTTTTATAGTGAAATATTTCTTTGAGTAGCTTGCTTAGATACAAACGCATATTTGTAAAATGTAGAGTCAGTCTCAGATTATGATTTTACCAAATAATTTTCTGAAATTCCTTTGTTAGGTGTATAATATAAGAGGTTTTCTTCTGAGTTGTGCTTTAATGCACTCCGAGACCTTTGCAGAACTGATGGTGTGGATAAAGCTTTTCATTCATAACCGTTCAAGGTGCCACACTGTAAAAGGGTCAGTAAAGGTTTGACTAGCTGTGTAATTGGGCATTTGATGTCTTCAGCTGCCAGAGTTCCAATTTGGACTTCATCTTAATGCGTACTTGAGACCTTGTGTTGAGAGCTGGGCATCTGGGCACATGAGGAGAGCATAACTGTGCAGAAGACTGCTGTGGCTGACACACCCCATGCCTGTGCATGATTTACAGATGTGTAATGCAGCAGCTGCCGTTCCTGCTGCACAGTGCTGCTGCTCGTTTCCTGCCTGGAGCAGAGGCATAGGCTGGGAGGCCTGAGTTGCGAAACAAATACACATTATATGTTCTGAAGCCTGTGGCACTATAGCCTGGCCTCTGCAAGGCATTCTCGGAGAAAGAAGTGTCACCCGAAGGAAAGTGCCTCAGAGCCATGCTTGCCACTCTGCTGCCCAGGGCCCCAGCAAGACTTTTGTGTCCATTCCAGATACTTAAGCTATGCCACAAACAGATCCCAGCCCTACCTTCAGCATTTGCAGAAGCAACCAGCCTCACTGTCCAGCCAACTGGCAGCTTTTCAGTCCCAGGAGTTTATAGTCTCTGGCAATTGTTGATTTACATTCTGAAAATTGGGCAAAATATGAAATGGTGGCCAAAAAAGCAAGTATCATATTTAAGGCCTAAACCAGATCTATCATAATGTTTCCACAGCTTGATCTCAGCTTTGCCAATGATGCCAGTGCAGAGATGAGTATTGGCAACAATCTTGCTCAGATTCAGTTTCAACTTTTATTGAAAAAAACAATAAAACCAGCACATTCCCAAACAATTGCAATAGCAGAAGAAGGACGTACTGAATACTGAATGTTCCAAGGCCAGAGTAGGAATTTGCATAGGCACAAATGTAAGGCTTGTTAGCCCAAATAACACAAAATGCCAGTAAACTACTGTGAGAAATGGAAAATGGGTAATGAGCTATCTCCTTATGAAAACCTCTAGTGCTTCATTCCACAGCTCTTCTTTTCTACTCTCCAAAATACAAATTGTGTGAATGTGTTTGTAGAAAGGTATTACAGGATCATCATTTTAAGTACGTGCATTAAGTGACTTCTCCACATTGAAGAACCAGGATTTTAGGTTTGGTTTAATTCTTACTAAAGCTTTTTAACTATGACATTATGTAACTCCAGGACCTTATCTCACTTCCAGAAATTTGGTTTAAAAATAAAGCAGACTAATATCCCTTTGATCACAAAAGTATATCCCATTTTTAATTTTTGTTTTTGTGGATAAGGTAGTGATGATGATGTGATACTAACTTGAGATTTAAAAATAAATAAATTATATAGGCAAAGATCCACAATGGTGTTCAAGTGTCCAGTTGCCTTTAGGTACCTCAAGTAAAAAAAAAAATACTGTATGTCCATATCTTCTCCAATTCTACCTTTCTGCTTTGGAGTTTAATGTAACTTAATTGTCACCCAAGTCCCAACAAGAGATCATGAAGCAGCTGGTTTTACTTTGTCCTTAAAGCACAAAACGCTCCTGCTGGGTTAGGCCTTGAAGGTAAATGAAGCTGTTGCAAACAATACTGGTGCAAGTGCTCTCACAAAGCCAGGAAGACAAAGGTTTCCAATGGAAGTTCCCTTGTGAGAGGTAAGAAATCTAAATTCCATGCTGGGAGAATTTAGGGAAGTGAATGACAGCCATATTTTCCTCTCTTCAGCTTCAATATATGGAGCTGGTTTTATTAGATCCCATGCTGTCTGCACAAATTATCTTGGATGTGTGGTGGACAGGTAGCAGGACACCAGGTTTCAGTTCATCTGCTTAACCCTTCTGGGGAAAAGAGGCCCCACTATGGTCTTGACACCACAGAGAAAAGCTTACATTTGCTTGCATGTGCTGTGTGAGGTTGTGAGGTTCAAATTTTATCTTTTTTTTTTTTTTCCTCTCTCCAGAGATTATAGTGTTTGTAAGTTAATTGCCTTTAATGATGCAGCCTTGATTTGCTGCTAAGTTGTTCAGAGATTTCAGGATCAATATTAAAAAAGATAGATTGAAAAAGCTGCTAAAAGTGTTTAGTCACAAACAAGAATGGCAAGAACACCAACTATGCTGTTCTGACAATTTTTAAAGCTCTGTGTCAAAGCCATTTTGTAATTAGAACTTGGGGATATGGCTAAGAACAGATGATAAAATCTTTAATGAAAATAGCTGAACACTCTGCTTCTGACTGTATTGTTCTCTGACATCCTAGAAGTAAATATTTTAGAAACTTTCCCTCAGAGTAGAATAGAATTTTCTGGCTTGTATTTTGCCTATAACATCAACAATACTAGAACAAAAAGCAGCAGTCTATTTAAGAGTACCTGAAAAAGACAAACTCCTGATTCCTTTTATGTCAATAAAGAGTCTGCTATTGCCTCTTGACTGCCAACGGGTAGCAGATAGGGGTAAAAGACTGGGGGGGAAAGATGCAGAGATGAGGGGGAAGGAAGACCTGTGGATGCCTTTAAAAGAGAATTGGGATGAACTCACAGTCACCAAGTGCTGATTTGGCCACCAGTTCCTGCTTTAGTATGGGGTCTGGCCAGTCCTTCTCTAGCTGGGGCTCACAATGACCACACCATCTCACACCAGTACAGCATATCTCCCTCAGGGGAGCGGAGAAAATAATAGAAAATTGTTCCTGCAGTAATTCAGCTACTGAGGATAGAAAGTGCTGACATTCACACTTTTTTTCACGAGAAAGGAGCAGTATAAGCCTCTATGAGGT